CTCTATCATGGCATATTTGAAAGTTATAAATGCGCAAAATAAATCTACGACTATTACAACATTGATATGGGAAGGGGGATACAATTTTTGAATGGGGGTATTTGCAAGAAAATAAAACCCTAATATTTACTATTACATCCAAATTGAATAAATGGTACAAATAAATAAATAGGCAAGTATTTAAATGGTCAATTAAATAAACATGCAAAATATTATGAATATGCAAAAAAAAATGTTTTTGTTTATTTTTATGTATGTAAGAATAAAATATTTAATGTATTAAAAAGAAAGAAAATAAAAAGTTGTTTTTGTTAAGGGAAAAACCCTAAATTTTGTTTTAAGAAAGTATATTTATTAATATTATTTATTTATGTACAATAAAAAATAAAAATATATTCAAGTGTCAAAAAATAAAATATATTAGGAAAAAAATATTATTTTTAATAAGGGTGGAAACCCTAGTTTTTTGTCTTAAGATAATATATATTTTATTATTTATTTCATGTACAAGAATAAATATAAGCATATATAAAAGGATATTAAAAATAAAACATATGAAAAAATATTATTTTATATGTATGAATAATAAAAATAAAATATATAATATTTCTATAATGCTTATAAGTTTTTATTAAAGAAAATAAAGGTATATGCCAATTAATAATTATTCTTATGTCTAAAAAATAATAATAAAATAATAAAATAAAATGTGAAAATTTATGAAAATATTTTTAGTATTTTTTATGTTTAGAAAAAAATATAATAAAATCAGAAATAAAAAATAAATAGAAAAATGCAAAAATATAAAGAACAAGATTGTAAGAACAAGATTTGTTTATGCATCTGGCCTTGAGTTTTAATGATAACATTACATGAGTGATTAGATAAAAATTTAGTACCCTAATGGTTTGTTTAGTGTGTAGCTTTTGCTAATAGATTCTAACTCTGAAGAATTTACGTGGGACGCCATCGGATTCTGGACTAAACACACTAAGAGATACAAGTGTGTGTGTCATTGCTTAGAATTCTTCTTAAAACAACGGTTTTGATGAACGTTAATTTTATTGCTTCGAAGTGTAACTTTGATAGTAGAGCTTCTAAAGAATTCTCAAGCTTTGAAGATTTCAAGCTCTCTTGCTTCAAGGTTCTGAATATTCTAAAGACAAGGTTTCGTTAAATGAGTTTTGAAGACTCTAAAGATTAAGGTTCTGAAGATTCTAAAGACAATGTCATGTTGAACGAGTTATGAAGATTCTGAAGATACGACTCTGAAGACCAACGTGCTAAAAATTATCTGAAGACAAGGTTCTGTTGAACAAGTTTTAAAGATTATGAAGACCAAGGTTATAAATACTAGTTTTGATCCTTCTAAGCATGCTTGAACTCTTACATACTTTGAAGCCTCTGAAGATTAGAAGAGAATATCAAAGGTCTCACGAGAAGTACTAGTACAATGTCACATCCATCCATTATCCTTTTTTGCGGCGCAAGGATTATACTATTGGCACTATATTGTCTACCACTCACACTGACCTTTGCAAGAAGACATCTAGAATTTTGGTATTCCTATTCTACCCTCCAACAAATTTCTTTTTGCCTATAAAAGGAAGACTTGGAAGAATTGGAATCGGGAACAACGTTGAACAACTTTGAAGAAACTCAAGCTAATTCAAATTGTTAAATGCTGCCAAAATAACTTTGTAATTTTTGTAAAGCAAGGAAATTTTGTTCGTTAACTTGCTAGAAAGGAACTATTGTTCGCTAACTTGCTTAACATTGTTGTGTTATTATTTATTCTTCATTTCTATGTAATATGCTTTTGAGAAGCAATATTGAAAATATAAAAGCTTGTATTCAATAATGAGTTGATTTTTCCTTGAGTGACTAAGTGTTAGTATGATTACTCAAGAAATCATTGACAGTTTGTCTCTAAGGTGTTATTCCTTGAGAGACTACGGATTTAGTCAAGATTCTCAAGAAGACATTAATAGTTTGTCTTTGTGGATTATAATCAGTTTGGTTATAGTGGATTAAGTCCTTGAATGAGAAAGTAAAATCACCTTGGTGGAAAGACATGATTAACTTCGTTAACAGTGAATCATGATAAAAATAATTGTGTTCATTTATTTTTGTTCTTGTGTTAACTTCTTGTGGTTGGTTTCGAAAAGATTTTATTTCTAGAAACTCAATTGAAACTCTATTTCCTTGTGTTTCTTGCACCTTCATTAACTTCATCTTTTAAAATAATTATTAAAAAGATAGTCTATCAAAATTTTCAAAAATTCAGTGCACCTATAGTTTATAGCAGTAATTTCAAAATCCGGTAAAATTTGTCAAGCAGTGAATTTTTTTAAAATAGTAGTAAAAATACATATCGGATTTTTTGTTTTGCCAACCAGATTTTTTCGCACGAGAGAAAATTTTCCAATAATTTATTAATGAAAAAAGTGAAAGGGATATTTTTGAAAATTACAGCCTCAAAAAAAGTGAAGGTCCAATAGAACTACAATCCAGTCAAAACAAGAATTTCAAAACACACCTAAAAAGTTTATGGGGTTACTTTTTTCACCCTTAGGGGTGCTCCCTCACCAACGTGAAAAGTCTCAATTGTCCCTAGCGTTTGGAGATGTATCTTCGGATAAACTTTTTTTACACACTCCTTAGTGCAAATTGATGTGAAGCTCATTGTTTGCCAAAATTTAGTCTGGAAATACATCTATGTATGTGTTTATGGTCAATCTGGATATGAATCTCCACAAACATCATTAATTCAAAATTTAGTAAGTGGTACAGAGATGCATCTCTGCATACATTAACCCACACCATAACCTTCCCTCTTTCTCTTTAATTTTTTGAAAACTTACTCAACTTGAAAAAACCTAACTGGTGCTCTTCCTCAGTCATTCAAGCTTGTCACTCCATTCTACTTCATTTGTTGCAAAGCTTCTCACTCCATTCAAGCTTCTCGTCCACAACTTAGATTTAGTAAGTTTTTTAAAAATCATTCAGTTTTTGTGTTTTGAATAATATTTTAGGAAACATAAGTTGTTTAAGCAACATTAGATAACATGCAATCGAAATAGATAGCCTAAATGGACATGCATTGAAATTTGTTAGGAGTTTACGGCAGTAATAGTGTTTCTATCATGGTTGAAGATCACAGATTTGTCCGGAGATGCATCTCTGTATTCTGTCTGAACTATTTTTGGAGACATATCTCTAGATTTGAACCTAGCAGGATTTTGGTTGAATTTTTTATTTGACTACCTGGTTTTAACGCATGTGCGATGGCTAAAATAATCCTGGCAGAATTAGGCTCGATCGTGTGTTCTAAATCTCGTATGTACGACGTGAGAGGGTAGTTGGCAGGACCACGAGGCCACAAGTTGATGATACATCATTTGATGGTTCACAATACCGAGGTTGCCAACCATTTGATTTTGTTTCTCATAGTCGTCAGTCCCAGGCCTCTACTTAACGGGGCCACGAGAGGTCTTCATGAAATACCTTACAATACATATGAAGGAGAAACTGCAGAGTTAGACAGGCCCAACAGTTTATGTTTATTTGTATTTTTTGTATTTTCTGAACAAGTTATATATTTATTTTACATTCTGATTTTACTTTAATTAATGTCTGGCTCTTTTAATGCATGCTTGAATTAATTAGTATATCAGTTTTTTAATTTATGGTCTAAAATCACCTAAAATATGAGTTGGTCTAAAAAAATTTTAATCTTGCCACAATGTTGCTTGCCTTGAAATATACCATTGAAATTTCAATCTAGGGGATTTCTAGATATGTATCTTCGAAATATCTCTTGTCATATATCTTTAAATGACTTCAAATAATATGTCATATATGCATCTCCGAATACATCCAAATAATATACAGAGACGTATCTCTAAATCATATTTTATTTAAAATGGAATGGATACCAAAAAGACAAAACTAAATTTGACCTTAAGTGCATCCGAAGATGTATCTCTAAATACATTAAAAAAAAAAATTTAAATTTCGAGAAATATGGGACGCACCCTTAAAAGTGGAAAGAACATTTCCCAATATACTAATTGTGAAATTATTTTCTTCACACTCCTCAAAATTCCAAAAATATGTTTATTTAAATTCAAACACTTGTCTGTTTTTTATATATACAAAATTATTCTGTTTGAACTTTAAAATCAATATAAATTTTTAGAAATAATTAAGATTCTATAATCTATAAAAAAAGTGTTTTTTTGGTAGAAAACATGGTGTTTTATTTTTAAGTGCCAATTTTTAACATTTTTATCTTCCAATTAAATTCCAATTGCCATAATTTAATCCAACTTTAACATATGACATAAAGTTAACTATCGTTCTCAATTATTTATGCTTGGATCCACTGTTCCTTTTCGTAATCTTCCATAACTAAAATATGAACAAAATGTCATTAACTTCTTAATTCCTTTAATTTTTTTTCTTTATTTTATCAAATTTTCTAAATTCTATTCTCTTCATGCTGAACTTGTGACAAATCTTTGTCCTTGGAACAAAAATATCAAACATTACAAAAGTGGCATATAAATTTGAGGGATGATAATCAAAGGTTTATGTGTGCTGACACTAAGCAATTATTTATATTTAACCGGAAATTTTCTATGAAATTAATTTGCAACCAAAGTTATCAAAAGAGAAAGAGTTAACAAAAGTGATTGGTGAGTTCATTTAACTCTCAACTGTCCTCTCCATATGTAGACACCAAAAACTCAATTTATTCTTTTGTACTTAGACAGTGACAAATATTGTAGTGAGGTTATGAAAATAATTTAAAAACAACTTGAGTTAAGAACATATCACAAGATAATACAAATATTTGTGCTATTAGATAAACTCAAATAAAGTTCATAAAGCATACTACTTATGTTTTAAGCGGCTAATTAAGTTGCTCATCCAAACATGACCAAAACCAGCAAAGAACACAGAATATACCCATTAGAATATAAACATATATTTTTCTAAACTTTGTAAAAACTCACCAAATAGAGACTATTCAAGCACTTAGAACACCCTTCAAGACCTTGAAAGCCATTGACGTTTTTTTCACTACTCAAACAACTCTTTTCCAACTTTCTAACACTTTGATCTCCAACAAGCTCCCCTCTTTTGGTTACAGAAAATGAATCAGGACAGTTAAAAGGATGCAGCCTAATTCCACAATAACAATACACCAAATCACAACTCTCATTTGGATTTACAATCTCAATTCCTCTAACTTTCAAAGCCTTTTCCAAACCATCCACACATGTTTCTGAATCATCTGGCACCAAAGGCATGTCAAATGATGATGACGACGGTGATGGGTGGTTTCTAAGAGCGGTGGCAGAGTAGGAAGAATACAACCATGCTGCAAGAACGGGACAACATCGGCTATGGTCGAGTTTACTGTGTTTTGACGAACTACATGCATTTTTTATGCCATTGAAAAGTTCATTTGAGAGAGATAAAGGACAGCCTTTAACATAAGATTGTTCTTGGAATGAAGGGATAGTTAATGTTGTTGGATGAGATGATGGTGTTGGGAGAATGGGATTAGGGAGAGTCGTGTAGGAAGGGAAGAAGAGAATGTAGAGGAAAAGGAGTGATATTGACATGGTGGTGTTGAAAGTATAACATGAGGGAAAAGCAATGAATTGAAGAGTCTAAGTTATATATTAGGTAGGAAGAAATGTAAAAGATGTGGATAGGGAGTGTCATGCTGAGATGAGTAGGTGAATTGTATTTAATGTGCAGAAGAGTATTCACATGAATGAGAGGGTTTATGTTTAATGAGAGTGCAGGAGAGGGAGTGCACATGTCTTACTTGTTGCAACCTTAATTCTTCTCGGTTCTTACACATCCTAGTCATGTATATAACTTGTGATCTCTAAATACATTCTACAGGGTAATAGTAAAAAAATTAATACTTGAAGAGTTAGTTATTTACTTACTTTCTTTATCAGAAATTTTCTCTTCAATATTTGGTAGGCTTAGCACTGGTTGAAGAATTTTGATACTAACGGTCCTACCATAATACTTAATCCATGTACAAAGCATCATTAGGGGCTTTACAAAAGCTAAATAAAACATGCAACACAACTTCTGTACAAAATCATATAGCTGTTTTGGCAACCAAACATAATGATAGACTCTGGATTTCAGAAATTGGCAAGGCTGCAAATGAAAATGAAGTTTGTAAAAATAATATTTTACCTGATTTTAACTAACAAATACAGAAGACAAAAAAAAAAAATGATCAACTTTGAAGCTATAAAACTAGAACTCAGCCAGCTTTGCAATTTATAATAACCAGAATCAAGAGAATGTAAACAGCATTGTGGCGATCTCCAGACACCTGAATAGCAAAATCTGCAATGAAAGAGAAATCAAGATGGATGGTTGTATTCAAATTCAAAACAAATTGTAACTAGAAAGCAACTCACCTAATTTAACTCTTACATTAGACCTTTATCAATCATTTCACGGAGAAGTTTCACAGCCATATGATTCTTTCCACTTTTGAACAAAGCACGAATAATAATTTCATAAGTTACAACATTCGGAATGCAACCGTTGTCTTCCATTTTTGACAGTAAGGTCAATGCTTCATCAATCAAGCCCTCTTTACAAAATCCATTAATCATTGCAGTGTACGACATAACAATTAAATGATAGCCATTCGACAGAAGTATCCTAAAAACCTCTTGTGCGTCCTTAAGTCTTCCACATTTGCACAAACCGTCAATTAATATTGTGTATGTGTACACATCTGGCTTAATTCCCGGGTGTTTGAACTTTGTAAATAATGCTATTGCCTTGTCAAGATTATGGCTTTTGCACAAAGCATCTAATAAGATATTGTAGGTGAACACGTCAAATGGTTGACCTCTATCATGCATCTCATCTATCAGATCCCAAACATCACAAATTCTCCCCGATTTGCAAAGTCCATCAATAAGCGAATTGTATGTTATAGTATTAGGAGTCATGTTTTTCAAATGCATTTCTTTGAAGAGACTGACAGCTTCATCCACCATTCTACTCTTACATAATCCATCAATCATGACATTGTAGCTGCGAATATCAGGTTCAACTCCTCTTCGAACAAAAGAGTTGAATACGTGTTTAGCCTTGTTCACTTCTTTAACCAAGAAATATCCATCCATCAAAGAATTATAAGTAATAACATTAGGTTTCACGCCTTGTTTTATCATAACAGCCAACACATCTCTACCTTTTTCCACCTCTCCTTCCTTACCAAAACCATCAATGAGTGTGTTAAAAGTACAAACATTCGGCATGATACTTTTCAACAACATTTCATTTAACAAAGCAATTGCTTCTTTCAAGTGACCGACAATGCAAAGGCTGTTTACTAAAGTAGTATAAATAATAACATCAGGAGAAATTCCTTTGACAATCATTTCAGAATATAAATTAAAGGCATCATTCACAAGTTTATCCTTTCCCAAACTATCAATGATTGTGTTGTACATTACCACGTCCGGCTTAACCAACGACCCTTTAATCTTGTTAAGAACCTGCATAGCAGCTTTTGTTTCTCCTATTTTACATAAACCGCCGATCAAGGTTCCATAACTAACATGATCAAGTTGAAACCCATTAGCTATAACGTCATCGTGAAAGTGAAGGGCTTGGTTAATCTTGCCACTGTTACAGAGACCTCGGATAAGTGTATTCATTGTTATGGTATTAGGGTGAAAACCTAGCTTGAGAATGTTGGCGAATACAGAAAATGCAAAATTGACTTGATGAAGGTGACAGAAACAGTTAATCAAGATGCTTAAATTAACAATGTCGGTTCGAATTCCTCTGAGTTGCATTTGTTGAGAAAAGGAAATAGCAGTTTGAAAATGTTGGATCTTAACAAGGGAAGATAGTATCTTACCGAATTCAAAGATGGGAGGGGTAGGGTTTGTATTGAGCATGCGATTGAATGAGAAAACAGCATCATCAACAGCAACAGGGTTGTGACCTTGAGAGAAGAATCGAATAACAAACAAGTTGGAAGACTGAAGAGAGAGAGCGTACCTAGATCTCAACAGAGACATTGCTTCTTCAACTTGGAAGATAGACAATAATGGCGAAATTGTGAACAACTTTGTTAATTTAACCTCAAAATAAGAAACTGATGGCATCTCGTCCCGTTTAGAATTATATTATATTACATCACACCATTATTTATAAAGTATGAATTTACTTTTCAAATGGTTGATATTGTAATAATAATATAGACTAATATTATGTACTAACTTTTAAATATTGATTTGTATTTGTAATAAACCGTATATATTTTCTAACTTCAATTATATAAACAAAAATAATAAAAAAATTTAGAGATAGACATTAAAATGAACCGTCTACAACTTACATATCACATATTCGTTCACATATACCCGTGGATCTACCTTCATTACGATGAATTGTCTACAATTGTTAAATTGAGAAATAAAATTAGAAATAAAAAGAATTTTAGATGAATATATTTTACCAATAAAATATTAAGTCTTTAATGTTAATGTGATTTTGTTAAAAATATTCTACAATTTAATCAAAAATAAATTATATAATGAATTAATATAAAACATCACCAAATTTTTTTTAAAAGATGAAGATTAAAAAGAACAATATACAATTGATATCTCATAGATACGTTCACATGTATTCATGAATCTATCTCTAGAAAGACCTTCATTATGATGAACAATGTATCGCTGTTAAATTGAGAAACCAAAGTCTAATGATTCCTAAATAGAGAGATAGGAAGTTGACAAAAACCTATTTCATATGAACTCGTGTATGGCAATGTGGAGCTTTTCAGTGAGGCCTGAGATGCTTGGGAGCTTGCTTGAACTTCCTCTGACCTTCCCCAATGCTTAGTTTGCCTTAGATGTGCTTGAACAAGCTTGTAGAACTCAACCTGCACAAGCTGAAAACAGAAATTGTGAAGCTTGCAAATGGAGTTACAGTCAGTGGCCAATGATTGGGATAGCTTGGATAGGTTATATGGAATATATTGGAACAAGTTTGGGGCAAAACGCACAAGTAACTTGTGAGATGGAAGTGAAACTGCAAGGAGTGCCCTGTTTTGCAAAAGGAAGGTGATTTAGTGTTTTGGAAGGCTTGAGGGTTCAATAATTCGTGTTTCTGGCTCAAGACAATGTGCAAAACTTGTCTCAAATGCTTGCAAGGGTTGGTTATATCAGATATGCAAGTTGTTGCTCTTTGGCAAGTTTTCTTGTATTTTAAGCAAAAGTAACAAGTGATGCAAGACAGACCTGTACAAGCTATCTACCAGCTTGCACTTTATGATCTTGGCCCCCTCAGTTTGTGGATATTTTTTGCTGTACAAGATTTTGTTCAAGGCTCAAGAATGCAATTTGACATAAAGCAAATTTGACAAAAATGGTAATGTTGCTTTTTTACTATTTTTGGATTAATCTCTTGTGTAATCCTCCCATGATCAGAACAAAGCCTTAAACCAATGGATTTGAATTTAATTATTGAGTTTAAAAGGGTTTAGGGACCTGTAATCAAGTACAAACAAATGTTGGATGGAAGTTGCAACTTGTATCAACATGAAAATGCCATGGATCAAAAGTGAGTTTTTACCAAATTCAAACCTTCGATTCTCCCTAACCATAAATGATTTTGGAGAGTTCTTGGATATTTTGGAAAGCTTGTAACATGCTATACAATCCATATTTGAAATGTATTTTTAGATTCCAAGTTTAACTATGTGAAAAATGGCCATGAAGATAGCTCAAAATCCTGCCTAAACTAGGGCAAAATTTCACTAAGTTAAAAGTTTCATGGACCCTTGTTCCAAAAATCATAACTTGAGATCCAAGCTTCTTTTGAGAAAACTTTGTGCATCAAAGTTGTAGATTTTGTGGAGTACTACAACTTTTATGTTGGAAGTTTTGTTTGAATCCAATTGCATCATGGTGAAAATATTGGGCAAAGTTGGGAAAAAATAAGAAAATTTCATAACTTAGAAAAATTCTAAGTTATGAAATTTTTCAATCTTAAACCCTAATTTGCAAAATTATGTTTCTTGATGAATAAGTTTCATGTTTTGACACATCTTGATGAAAAATGACCCTTGGCACTTGATTTTGACCAAAAAGTCAAAGTTTGACTTTTCATTGTATAGTCAAATTTTGATCAGTTGACTGAAAAATTCATCTGTCAATCCAATGCATTTGAGATCTTTTGAACCTTGTGAATAGGTAAAGATGATGCCATTGAGTCCTTGAATCCATGCTTGAACCCACTTTGCCATTGGCTAGGTGAAAAATCAGAAATTGCCCTTATACAATCAAAACCCTAAAAATGGTCATTTTGCCCTTTTGATGATCTGATCAAATTTCTTGAGGAGTTGTGATCCAAACTTGATCAAATAGTCCATATGAGTCTATAATATTGATGTGGATCAAAAATTATGAGTTTTGACTGTAAATTGGTCACAATTGACTTTTTCCCAAATACAACTGATTTTTAGGTCAACTGTCCAATTGACTGGGCAAAAATTTGATTCAAGGTTTGAAACTTGGTAGAGGAAATCTTGTAAGTACAAAATGAAGTATGAAAG